AGCTGGGCGGGAGGAGGCAAACGCCTGTGTGATCTTCCAGCATTTAATTATGGACATATTTTTCCATCTTAGCACATTTTTATTACATACAGAGGCAGAATGAACAGACAAGATTTGGACAGGGTGACAGTTGTGACATATGTCTTCTGTCTGTCCCCAACTGCGGATGTGAGGATGTTCTCTATCATTTTTAAAGCACCAAGGCAGTTCATATGTCATATTTTAGCTATAGGTGGAGCTTGGCTTCTTATTTCTACAGTGGAATCTCCTTGTCATATTTCCCAATTCTCTACATGTCCAACTGGATGTTTCCGGTGTTCTCACCCACCTTTTATGGGCTCTATACTCCTCCATAATATAAAATAAATAAAAATCTATTGGGGATGATGGGAGGCCCTCATAATTGCCACAGCACATGTGCAAACCTGGGAACGCAACACAAAGATCTTTCTTTTCCTTCATTCTTTCTCCTAATTTCTTCCACCTTTTGTCTTCTTCCTTCCTTCCTTGTTCTTCCTTCTTCTGCCTGCCTTCTTTCTTCTCCCTTCTTTTGCCTTCTTCCTTCCTTCTTTTTCTTCCTTCTCCCTTCTTTTGCCTCCTTCCTTCCTTCTTTTTCTGCCTTCCTGCTTTTCTTTTTCTGCCTTCCTGCTTTTTCTGCCTTTTTCCTATTTCTGTTTTCTTCTTTCTACTTCCTTCTTCCTCCTCCCTCTTTCTTCTTTCTTCTGCCTTATTCCTTCTGATGTCGTCTTCTTCTTCCTTCTTCTTTCTTCTTTTTTCTTCATTCTTTTTCCTTTTATCATTTTCTCTTCTTCCTCCTCCTTCTTTCTGCTTCCTTCATTCTTTCTTCTAAGTTATTTTTTCTTCTTCCTTCTTCTGCCTTGTTCCTGCTTCTGCCTTCTTTCTTCATCCTTTTTTTCTTCCCTTTTTCTGACTTCTTATTCGTTCTTCTGCCTTCTTCCTACTCCCTGCTTCCTCATTTTTCCTCCTCCCCCCCCTCTTTCTTCTGCTTCCTTTCTTCTAACTTGATCTGCTTACTACTTCCTTCTCCTTTCTTCCTCCTTCTTCTGCCTTTTCCTTCTTTCTTCTTCCTCGTTCCTTCTTTTTCCTACTTCCTTGTGCTGTCTTCTTTCTTCTTGTTTCTTCTTCATTCTTTTACCTTTATCATTTTCTCTTCTTCCTCCTTCCCCCTCCTTTATTCTGCTTCCTTCATTCTTTCTTCAAAATTCTTTTTCCTTCTTCCTCCTTCTGCTTTGTTCCTTTTCTTCTTCCTTCCTTCCTTCCTTCCTTCCTACTTCTGCCTCCTTCCTTTCTTCCTTTCTTCCTTTCTTCCTTTCTTCCTTTCTTCCTTTCTTCCTTTCTTCCTTTCTTCCTTTCTTCCTTTCTTCCTTTCTTCCTTTCTTCCTTCCTTCCTTCCTTCCGCCTCCTTCATTCTTTCTTCTAATTTCTTTTGCCTTCTTCTTCCTTTTTCTGCCTCCTTCCTTCTTCTCCCTTCTTCCTCCTACTTCCTCCTTCTTCCTTCTTCCTCTTCCCTTCTTCTTCCTCCTTCTTCCTTCTCCCTTCTTCCTCCTCCTTCTACAAAGCCTCCCCCTGCAGTCCAAAGCACAGAACGGGTACAAGTGTTCAAACAAGCTCATCCAGGCTAGCAGAAGCAAATGAGAAGACAGAAGGTGGAAACGCTGCACAGCAGAGCCCAGCCACTATACAACAAGGTGGAGATACAATTTCAGTCTAGTTCCTCCTGACTCCACTCCACTGACATGTTGTGCAACATTTCTGTCTTTTTGATTTTCAAGAGTCCAAGGTAATATAATGTTAAAACCAATTAATAGAATATAACCCAACACATTTCAGGGGCCAAACACACTCCCGTTCATCAGGGCTGATTAGGTGGCTTAGGAGGCATGCTTCTCTCTGCAGGTACATCCAGTCACTGCGCATTTCCTGGATACACCTGTAGAGAGAAGCGCACCTACTGTAGCCCCCTGTAAGGGGAGTGTGCTTGGTGCCTGATCCATGTTGGCTCTACCCTGCTGTGAATCACTATATTCTTTAAATTACCTTGAACTCTTGAGCCTTTTTTTGGCACTCCCATTGGATTGTATGTGTGTGGATTCTCAGTCCTTTTCCCCTTTTCCTGAGAATAGTCCCTCATTGTGTGGAGTGCTGCTGAACCGGAGTATCTGTGCCCAGTGACAATTTCTGTGACCCTTAGAAAACCTGAATCTCTCACCCCATTTGTTCTTGTCTTTGGACCAGGAGGGCAGGATGGATTGCCCCATCACATGACCACTGTGATTGGCTTTCACAATGGTCACATCCAGAGCTTCTCTCACCATCTCCTAATTATTATTTAAACTGGAAGCAGGGGCGGACTGACAACTCATGGGGCCCCCGGGCAATAGGGGATCATGGGGCCCTTGTGTCTTTGCCCAAACTCAAAAAAGCCTATAAAAAGGTACCAGGGGCATCTCATGGAGCCCCCTACTGACCCCAGGCCCTCGGGAAGTGCCCGAGTTTCCAAATGGTCAGTCCACCCCGATTGGAAGTATTCTACCTTGTAAATAAGCTGCCTGTACTCATCTATTGTGATGCTGCTCCAGTCCGGTGACATGATTGAGTCCCAGATCCAGCTCCAGGTTCAGTGAAGAGGAGAGATTGCTGACAATGGCTGCAGAACCTGGGCGATGATGTCACCCATAGGCTTACTATTTGGCATCCATTATCAGCTGGACCTCCTATACACTGAAGCCGGTGCTGGAACCAGATCATGTGACCGGACCGAAGCTGCTTCCAATAGGTATGTACAGACATTAGGGTTGCACCGATACCGTTTTTTTACTGGCAAGCACGAGTATTGATACTTTCGGTCAAGTACTTGCCAATACCGTTTGCGGTCTGATTTGAGCTCATACAAAATGAATGGGCTCAAATTGTACTGCAAAGAATTGCATGCGATTTGAACAGGAATGCGGTGCAATTCCTGTCCGAATCGCATGCGGTTTCTCGTAAGAGAAACATGCTTGTCATAGTGATTTCAGCCTGAGTTCACACAGGAGCTATGCAGGAAACCACATGCGATTCGGACAGGAATCACACCACATTCCTGTTCCAATTGCTTGCAGTTTTTTGCAGTGCAATTTGAGCCTACTAATTTTGTACGGGCTCAATCGCTCTGCAAAAGTATTAGTTTCAGGTAGCGGGAGCATTAGCATGAGTACTCGTGCAAGTACTCGGTATCAGCACCGTTAACGGTATCTGTACCTGTGCAACCCTAATAGAACTCTTATCTTTTCTTTTACAGGGTACATAGAACCATCTTAGAATGGGGGTGAGAGAACAGGTTTAGGGTTCTCTCACAGAGGCTTGATCCCTGCTGAGCAAGCGAATGACAGCTCTGTGTCCCCTCCGCTGCTGCAGAGCAGACACAGAGCTGCTCGCTCTCCTCAATGGGCGGTTGGATGAAAATGGACCACCTGTCCATTCTGACGGATGGAAGGGGAATTGGATCCCCATCCATCCATTATTGACGGATCGGATGTCAGTGGGTGTAATTGTCCATTTACACCCTCCGGAGTATGGAGTATGGAGGAACGATCAGGTCCACCTGAAAAACAAGCAGACGGACCCAATCGGAACATTCCTGTGAAAGTGCGCTTAGGCTTAGTTAGAATGTGCCTGGATTTCCACTTGGGAGTCCTCTCTACAATAGCTTTTGTTCCCATCAAAACTTGAGAACCTGCTTTTCTCCCCATACAATTCAATGGTAATGCAAAAGCAGCTTGAAAACTGGTTGATGCAGTTTAAGAGATCAAAGGCTCCGGTCAATGAACTAGGAATGATGATCTCAGCAGTATCTCAATCTAATCTCAAATTCAGGTGGAATGCACCTTAAAGCAAGCTGCGTTTGCCCAATAACACAAGCCCAAAGCACATCGACAGGGATATAACGTAAAACAAGAATTCTATGGTATGATTAATGAGTGTTGGAAACCAGAGATAGCATTTCCAGGGATAAAAGTTGCACACCTGGGACAGTTCCTGGTATCTGGGGCATCTGGCAGATCCTTGTATCAGCAGAGCACGCTCAAAGACACTGAAATAAAGTTATTACAGAGATCCCAATAGACTTCCCGTCCTTTAATTGAATTAGTGTAAGTTTGGTCTCCTCTGAATATCTCCAGAGGACCCAGAAACTCAAACTGGGACGGAGAAATCTCACTGGCTACAGGAGATAAAGAGATCATTGATATTTTAAGACCTAAAGTGGACCTTTCTATTTCCTAAAGCTCCTCTCCGGGCAAAGCTAACCACCCATCCATACCCAGTCACTGGCCACTTTATATTAGGTACACCTGTTCAATTGCTTGATAACACAAACTGCTAATCAGCCAATCACATGGCAGCAACTCAATACATTTAGGCATCTAGACGTGTTGAAGATAACATGTTGAAGTTTAAACCGAGCATCAGATTGGGGAAGAAAGGGGATTCAAGTGACTTTAAATGTGGCATGGTTGTTGGTGCCAGACGGGCTGGTCTTAGTATTTCAAAAACTGCTGATCTACTGCGATTTTCAGGCACAGCCATCTCTAGGGTTTACAGAGAATGGTCCGAAAAAGAGAAAATAGCCAGCGAGCGGCAGTTGTTTGTATGAAAATGCCTTGTTGATGTTGGAGGTCAGAGGAGAATGGGCAGACTGGTTCAAGATGATACAAAAGGCAACAGTAACTAATGTCAATATGGACCATAATCTATGAGGAATGTTTCCAACACCTTATTAAATCTTTGCCTCGAAGAATTAAGGCAGTTCTGAAGGCAAATGGGGGTCCAACCCAGTGCTAGGAAGGTGTACCTAATAATAAAGTGTATATTTGAATAGGTAAAAACTACAGGATTATATTTTTTTCATTTATGGAATTTGCAATCATGCGACTCTTCGTGGTGCCCCCCAAAGGTAGTGGAGACCAATGGTCTGCCACTGCAGTCTAGGCCCACCAACCAGTCTTGTTGCTCCTTCTCACATTGCAATTTTATGGTGCTGCTGCTGGAAATGTAAGGATCCCCTGTAGACCTTCCAATGAACTCTTCCTCCAGTCATCAGGAAATGAAGCAAACATTCTACAGGCGAGAAAATATCTGGTTTGTGGTGAAGATGGCTCTGGCCTGACTGGATCAGTCACTGGTTGTGGGTGGGTGAATGTGTGGGCAAATGGGAAGCAATTTCTTCCAGTAGGTCATGCCCAATGGTGAATTGTGGTGGTGGACCATCTTATGGGCTTGGGCTGCTACCTTTCTGATTCAGCCTTGTGGTCATTTCACACTCCCTGCTGATTGGAGAGGTCTAGCTCTGATTCAGCCGGGGGACGTGTCTGACCTCTGCAGAGAGACCATTGCTTCCTAACATGGCTTCTCTGCAGCATGCTGGCAGGGAACAGGCTTTTCTACTTGGGCTGTGGCTGCTTTCTAAAGAAAACAAACTATTAGACTTTGCATATCCCTTGTTTTGACGCACTTTGAATATATTTAGTGGATTTAGGGCCAGATCACACTACACGTGTTTCAGTTGCTTTTTTTCTGCATCCAAATCGCACAGAAAGTAGGTTATATGGTGGTCAATGTCATAGTTCATATCAGTGCTTTGCAGTTCCAGTGCGTTCCGGATGCAGAAAAAAAAGTAGAAAAGCATTTTTCCTGAACAGAACTGTACTGGAACATGGTAAAATGCAGCAGAACGCACTGGAATACACATGTCCCTATTTAAATTGAAGAAAAAGGGGAAAAATGAACTGAAAGCATCAAAAACGCACCAGAGTGCGCCAAAAACACATCATAAACGCGCATGTGGAATCACATCCTGGACACATCCAGACTTCATTTCTATAGTGTGAACCGACCCTTAAACTGCAAGTTCAGTTGGGCTTCAAACAATCTTGAGGTTGCCTATCTATGTGGTCACCAGGACAGGCATTGAGGGGGAATCTCCCCATTGTATTCACAGGTGGTAAAAAAAAAAACTGGCAAATGTTCTAACCTTTCTCCACCCTATCTGAAACAAAAGGTTTTAAATAGAGATTTATAATAATAGTTATATTACTAAAGCGGTGAATCTGACATTTAACAAGCATTCTCTGCAGGTTAATTTTCCTGTTGCATTTGTTTCAAATGACTGATTCACCACCAGTGAATGTTTGAAAGTCACATTTACTGCCTTATAAATTAGTCCCTGAGAGCCACTGAAAGCAACAAAAAGTTCTGTTTTGTGTAGAAGAGTTCTTCAAAACCTCAATTCCGGGGCCCAAGGAATTTCTGGAGTTTATCTAAGGCCTTGTATCGTACCATCTGGAGGCGTTCTCGCTGTAAACACCATCTATATGGCCTGTGGTTGTGAAAAGTCTTTATTATGATGAATGAGCCCACGGCTTGTATTTATGTTACGGAAGCGCTCGGTTTGCCTTTTACGGATCCTCTTTTCCAAACAGCCGTTTTTGTGAAAAGACATCTGCTCAGGAGGGGAGTCCTTTTCACTTAAAGTCCAACTCCAGGAAATGTAAAAAATCTCCCTTGCAGTAGGGCTGTGTCCACACTGCAGGAGGTAGTCCTTCATTTAGGTCTAGAGCAGTGGTCTCCAAACTTTGTCCCTTTGCTCGTCTTTACCCAGCCCTTGGGGCACCATTCCATCCACTGAGTCCAACAGGACATTATTCTTCCCACTGATACCAATGATGGGGCACTATTCCTCCCACTAATACCAATGCTGGGTTACTATTCCTCCCACTGACCCCAATGATGGGGCACTATTCCTCCCACTGATACCAATGCTGGGTTACTATTCCTTCCACTAATACCAATGTTGGGGCACTATTCCTCCCACTGACACCAATGATGGGGCACTATTCCTCCCACTGATACCAATGATGGGGCACTATTCCTCCCACTAATACCAATGCTGGGTTACTATTCCTTCCACTGATACCAATGTTGGGGCACTATTCTCCCACTGATACCAATGATGGGGCACTATTCCTCCCACTGATAACAATGTTGGGGCACTATTCCTTCCACTGATACCAATGTTGGGTTACTATTCCTTCCACTGATACCAATGCTGGGTTACTATTCCTTCCACTGATACCAATGCTGGGTTACTATTCCTTCCACTGATACCAATGATGGGGCACTATTCCTTCCACTGATACCAATGATGGGGCACTATTCCTCCCACTGATACCAATGATGGGGCGCTATTCCTCCCACTGATACCAATGATGGGGCGCTATTCCTCCCACTGATACCAATGATGGGGCGCTATTCCTCCCACTAATACTGTTATGATCCGCCAGGCGGAGCCTTCCGGCTGCCAACTGATAGACCAACCCAGAGCGTGGGGTCTAAGCCCGGGCTGTGCCTTCACCAGGGCCCCTGATGGTGGGGATGGACTTGAAACAGTCCCGGGCCAGGTCACGACCTCTGGGCGGGCCCACCAGCGGCTGGGAAGGCCTCCGGGGATGCGTGTAGGTACCGGGAGAGCCAGATATGAGGCGGATGACGGCCCCAGCAGGGTGGCACGGATAGTGGTTCCGTGGGGGGTAAGCGGGGTACCAAATCAGCGGGCAAGGAGTAGTCAGGTCACATGCAGGGTCAGCCAGGTAAATCAGTCCGTAGAATAGTCAGGATATCCGAGTCAAAACGCAGGAGCAGGCAGAGTAGTCAGGACAAGCCGGGTCAAACACAGGGGCAGGCAGCGTAGTCAGGGTCGAAAACAGGGTCACAGAACAGGAGCAGGTATCCAGGATCACATAAGACCTTGCGGCAATGGGTGACAGTGCAGGGCATCTTTAAATAGTGCGCCCTGCACTGTCATTGGCTGGCTGGGACGCGCCCCCGGCTGTCATTGGACGCCTGAGGCGCGCCCTCGACTCTCTACTGCGCATGCGCGGCGTCCTGTCAGCCGCGGCTCGCCGCCAGTGCGCATGCGCGGGGGGACGGCGCCGTGATGCAGGATTCCGGCGCCGTGATCCCTGACACTGCCCCCCCCCAATGGGCACCCTCCGGGAGCCCCACTGATCTCTCCACCGCGGGTGTCCACGAAAAAATTCCCGGATGAGCCGGGGAGCGTGAATGTTCTGGGCGGGTTCCCATGAGTTCTCCTCAGGGCCATAACCCTTCCATTTTATCAGGAACTGGGTCTGGTTCCCCCTCCGTCGGCAACTGAGGATAGTCTCCACTTCGTATTCCTCCTGGTCATCTACGGAGATTGCCTCGGGAGGTCTGGACTCACGGTCCGGGAAAGGATCCGGTCTGGATGGCTTCAGGAGAGACACATGGAACACAGGATGTACCCTGAAGGTCTGCGGAAGCTCAAGCTCGTAGGCCACCTTGTTGACTACACGCTTTACCGGAAATGGGCCAATGTACTTGGGTCCCAGCTTCCTCGAAGGATGCAGCATCTTCAAGTTGGTCGTTGACAGCCATACCCGATCCCCTGGTTGAAGCAGTAATTCTCCTCTTCTTTTCCTGTCGAACGCCCTCTTACTGTCCCCTTGGGCTTTGGCGATGGCTTCCTGAATTGTCTTGTTATTGACAGAGAAGAAGTTTAAGACGTCCTGAGATGCCGGTACCGGGTTTTCAGGCATCAGGTCAGGGAGAAATGTGGGATGATACCCGTAATTGGCGAAGAACGGGGATTGCCCCGTTGCAGAGTGACTCGAGTTGTTGTACGCGAATTCTGCGGACGGCAACAACGTCAACCAGTCATCCTGAAGGTAGGACGTGTAACATCGCAGGTATTGTTCCAGCGTTTGGTTGGTCCTCTCGGTTTGGCCGTTGGTCTGTGGGTGGTGGGGCGGATGAAAGCGACAGCTTGATTCCTAGTGCTTTACACAAGGAGTTCCAGAACCTGGAGGTGAATTGGACTCCCCGATCTGACACTATATCTTCGGGGACCCCATGAAGCCTGACTACTTCCTTAATGAAGATCCGTGCCGTTTCAGGTGCCGATGGGGTTTTCTCCAGGGGTATAAAATGTGCCATCTTTGAGAAGCGGTCCACGACCACCATTATTGCTGTGTAGCCTTGGGATGGTGGGAGTTCGACCACAAAGTCCATGGCAATCATTTGCCAGGCCCGCTTGGGTATTGGTAATGGACGTAACAATCCCCATGCCCGGCTCCTGGAGGGCTTGTTCCTTTGACAGGTGGAGCAGGTCTGGACGTAACGCTCGCAGTCCTTATTCATGTTCGGCCACCAGAACGAGCGCCGTAGTAGTTCCAGAGTTTTCGCAACCCCGAAGTGACCTGCCATTCGATGGTCGTGGCAGTGCCCTAGGACCAGGGTTCGCACCTCTTCTGGGACCATGATCCGGTCTTCCTTCCAAAACAGCCCGCCGTGGTTCAGGAGGGGTGACCCCGACGGAACTGGTAGTCCTGTAGAAGCGTCGAGGAGTCTGGAACGAAGTTCTGTTTGTAGAGCAAGGAAACTTCCGGAAGGTAAGATGGTGTCAGGTGCCACTGTGTCATCGGGGTCCTCAAACATGCGGGACAGAGCGTCTGGTTTTGTGTTCTTAGTTAGTACCGGGTCGGTACGTAATATGGAGAGTGAATCGCGAGAAGAAAAGAGCCCATCTTGCCTGGCGAGGTCTCAGTCGTTTCGCTGTTCTTAAATATTCCAGGTTCTTGTGATCTGTGAAGACTAGGATTGGGTGTGTGGCTCCTTCCAGTAAGTACCTCCATTCTTCTAGAGCGGATTTGATGGCCAGGAGCTCCCGATCTCCAATGTCATAGTTACGTTCAGCCGGCGTCAACTTCCTGGAGAAGAACGCCACGGGGTGCAGTAGTTCCTTGGTTCCATTTCTTTGGGACAGAACCGCTCCTACCGCGTTCTCAGAGGCATCCACTTCCAAGACATATGGGAGGGAAGTATCCGGATGGCAGAGGATGGGCGCAGACGTGAATAATTTTTTGAGCTTCTCGAATGCCGTCTGGGCTTCGGAAGTCCACTTAAAACGGACCCCTTGTTTCGTCAGTTGCGTGATCGGGGAGACCAGACCGGAGAAGTTCCTAACAAACTTTCTATAAAAATTGGAAAAGCCGATGAAACGCTGTACCC